AGAAATTCGGAAAATGTTCCGAAAAACTTCCAAAAAGTCTCGAAATATCCAGAAATATCCAGAATAATTTCGAAAAAACTTAAAAAACGAAAGACGCCGACAAATACGACATTAAGAATCCCGAGGACCTCAGAAAAAAAAACAAAAATGGTGGGTAGGCACTGTGGCCAATGGCAAAGTTCGTTTGCCACCTCTGCATGGTTTTAAGTCATGCAGAGTCCGCAATATGCTCCGGAAGCAGTGTCCGGAGGATGCATCAGACTAGGCCGAGCATACTTTGAACTGCCATCAAATTAAAACTTAAGAAAGTTTTATTACATGGCAGTTGAGAAGTGCATGTACATAAATTTCATTAATTTAATGAAGGAAATTTTTGCACATGCAGCAGTACATAGCATGCATTTAGGCGCCTGGTGTTAGCAGTCGCGTCTAAACATACTCTGTGTCGATAGGAGTGTGACCTTTTTTATTTAGTATTTTAATAGGGTTGCCACCTGCATAAAAAAATAAAATATAAGGGTTGCCAGCTGTTAATAAAATTACTATATTCAATCATAATAAGCGTAGGCATCAGTTCTGCACCGTCACTGTCAAGCGAAAAGACTTAGCCGCTACATGTGTAGTAATGTATTATTTTTATGAGTAGGGTTGCCACCTATTAAAAATTTGAAAGATTCTCGCCGTACGTTGGATTACAAAATGAGATACAAAATGAAAGGGTATGGCCTTCGCGTGTACTCAAATTTTCATTTTTTGAATAGGGTTGCCACCTATTTAAAAATCGAGACATTTGACCACGCTAATCTAAACAACTACTGAACGGATTTAGGCGAGACTTTTTAAGTATAATTTGTACCGATAGGAATATTAGCTGTAGTACTTTAAATTCCTATAGGGTTGCCACATGTCTAAAAAATTATAAGTTCCGCACTGTTCGTTGGATTACAAGAAATGAGGTGTCAAATTAAAGGGCTTGGCTTTTGGATGTTCAATAATGTATTACTTTTTGAGTAGGGTTGCCACTTTTTTTTTAATTATAAGATCTTCACCGTTTGTTGGACTAAAATCTGAGGTACCAAGTGAAAGTATATGGTCACTGCATGTGCAGTAAGTGTTTATTTTTCGTTTTAGTGGGGTTGCCACCTAGGCATATTTTGTAAATGACATTAGATTTGCACAGTTCATTCAATTAAAAAAAAATATTAGGTGTCAAATGAAAAGGCTTGGCCTTCAGATTTGCAGCAAGGTTCTATTTTTCGAAGAGGGTTGCAATCTGTGCGAAACATTAAAAAATGTGGGCTATTAGTTAGATTACAAGAGATGAGGTGTCAAATGAAAGGGCTTGGCCTACAGATGCGCAATTATATACTATTTTTTTTAATTAGTAGGGTTGCAACCTGTTTAGTTGTCAAACACACCTCGAAGCCTCGCGCTACGAGCCGGGCTAGTATATCTTATTTTTCAATCGAGAAATGTAATTTTGAAAATTTCAAATTAAATACTACGGAGTATTTTTCTTAAAAACATATGACTCAAAACATATGATTTATAAACATATAATTCATTTATAAACAATATATAATATAATAAAATAAAATGGCCATCATACTTGGGCGTACATAATTTTTGATTTTTATATCATATCTTAAATAAAATATATAAGATGTTAGTATGTATCTGCTTTGATACAATTTTGCTTGGCTATATACATAAATACGTAATAAGTAAGAAAACGCTAGTAAAGTGAACTTGAACCTGTTCACCTGGATTTCATTCACACAACTGTTTATATCAGCCTGGAATTATAATGCACTTTCATACATACTCATATCCATATGTACATACATGTATACTTATATATGTACATATGTATGTACCTGCATACACCTCCATGCAACGCCATTCATGCGAATTAAATGAGAACCAACTGTAAAGTGTGTAAATTGCTCAACGTTGTGGTAAAGAAAAGGAAGCGTACAACCATAAAAACACAAACTCATATCAGTAGTCATATGTGTACATATTCATTTACATATACATATATGAAGTAGCAAGCAAAATTGCCACCCGTTGTTTTAAACAACATCAATTGTAAGCTATAGTTTCGAACTAATACCCGGTTATTGAGAGCTATTGCTGACGGTAATTGTGGCATTGCAAATCTATACGCGAACATGCAACACATTGTCATTGTCAAGAGACTGCGCATTATTGCACGCACATATGGCAACCAGTTGTTGCAACTACGTATTTGCCATTACAGGCGTGCGACCATACAACGCAGCAAGCTGCACCAAAGCAGGAGGAAAAATTGCATACAAAGAGACATACATACATACATATGTATGTAGTACATGCATGATAGGCCAATAGTTACAATTTGCTGACTAAAACCATGTTCGAATGCATATACATACATATGTACATATACACAAATAAATACATAGATATGTCCATAGCCTGTCATTGATGAGCCATAACAGCCAGCAACCCATATTTTCGCTGCCTTACTTGTTGTTGTTGTTGTTGTTGCTGCCGTTGCTGTCACTTGCGTCGGCATTTTGTGTTGTTATCAACGTTGTCCCCATTCAGTGTCGTCTGAGCCCATTGTCGATCAGCTGTGTTGTGGTGGCTCGTAATGCGTACTAATTTATCTACCTTCCCGCATCGCGGCGCATCCGCTGGTACGAGTAAGATATTTTTTTCCGGCCGCCTAATGTGCCAGCGTATTCATATTATCTATGAAAAATGTCCGGCAATAAATTATGTCTGCAGGTATCTTTTTTATTTCCAATTTCCCGTTTTTTCGTTTTTCTTTTTTAAATTTTGCTTTGCACTTTTTTTTTAGAAATTCTCACATTTCGGTTAACATTGATCTCGCATGCGCACGCGACCGGAAAACGAAATTGAATCTGTGTCAAAAGTAGCGCGTGCGTGCAAGAGTGCAGTTATGTTCATATGCATGTTTTCATTGATAAATATGTTGGAGCTTTTTAAATGCTTCTATTGGTTATATAAATATGTATGCACTTGTCGGGGAGTGTATGCAGCTGCGTCAAGGTAGCCTCGTAGGAAAAATTACGGGTTTGGAGGCTATAATTGGTGGGAGAACTAGTAAAGTTAGTTCCTTTCTCTGTTCCAAACTTAAGAACCGCTTTAAAACTTAAAAAAATTTTTGGAAGTTAGTAGACATCATTTAGTAAGTATTTGAGTTAGTTAAGGTGGTTGCACCAAATAAGGGATGCTTAAACCGTAGGCATCATTCAAAGGATTTATGGCATC